CACAAGTGCGCTCGGGTATAAAAATTTGAAATGTTTTATAAAAAATGTTTACGAATATTAAAAAAAAATATGAATTTCTACAAAATTTTGTTTAATAAAGTGCTATTTGCAAGTGGCTAAGATGTCGCGTTGATTTTTAATAATTTTTTCGCTAAAATTTCGAGCATGCTAAACATTTATCACTACCTAAAATATATCGCTACCTAAAGGAAAGGAAAGAAAAAGGGGACAAGTGGATTTTTTTCAAATGGTTCAGAAGATGCGAAAAATCTATTTAGATTCGCATTATCTGCCATTCTGCATCAAAATCTAAATTTTGAAAAAAGTGGACTTGGCGCCTCTTCACTCTTAGGTAGCGATACGTACTTATATTTTTTATATTTGCTTTTCAACATCACATCAGAATTTTCAAGCATTGTTGCTGACAACAGAATTTCATCTACAGCTCTGTCATCAACATGGTATTTATAATGCCGGTATAACATCAAGAAAACAAGCAATTTCAAAAGCAGAGGATATCAGTAACATCAGTTTCAGAGTACGCACATACATACATACATAAGTCGTGAATGGAAAATTTATTAAAAAATATTTCTATTGTATTATATGCGCTGTCAGACAAGAGCCGCATGCAACAGTCATTCTGGCAAGGACATACCTACATATATATGTACGCGGCGCAGGCATAGAAAAAAATATAATCAAAAATGTAGGAAAATCTGAACTTAAAAAAAGTAGTGAGGCAAAATTTTTTAAAATTATAAGTTTAAGCTTAAAACACGGTCGCTGACTTAACTACGAACTCAAAATTAAACTATCGAATCGATGAAGTATGATAAAAAAAAAATTACATAAAAAAATGCGTACTGAAAAATTACCACAACTTCAAAATTCAGTTTTGCGACAGAAGCGACTGGAAACTTAATACAAATATTCAAATAATTTGGGTATCTAACGACTAACTCGATATTTCTTAAAAGATTACGGTGAATCCTATAACCTCTTAAACAGCTTATATTCAGTCTCTGCTGGACTTCGGGAAACAGTTATATAACAGGAAATAATAGAACAGACGAGTGCATTAAAAAGGTATATATCTGAGATAGGGTTACTTTTTCATGTTGTATACTTTTAGGCCCGTCCCACTGCTTTTTATGTAGTAAATTTTGGCGAACAAAAATTTGCTTAAAATTGTCAGAATTTCACTGCTATTTTAGCGAGTTGTGGAGAGAGCAGCTACCAACATATATCTATGAATGAAGAATCTGTACACCCCTTGTCATAGTTATAAACGCACCACATATTGGCAAGTTTTAACAATCTATCTTTTTCTAATTTAAATTCAGTTATTTAAAAAAAAAAATCAACAAACTTTCGAAAAAATTTCGATCCTTTTAATTATATTTCTTAGAAACATTCTGAGTAAATAAAGTGCAAGTCAGAAGTAGTAAGGACAGTGATCGTCATTTTCTTCCATGTGAAGTGTGTTCTGTGATTTTTTTATAAGGAGAAAATCAGTAACATCTTCAACAAAAAAATTGCCAAAAATCAACGATAATGTTTAGCCACTTCAAAGTTGTATTTTATTACTAAAATTAAATGGGCTACAAAACTGCATACCTAAAATCTTCCTAAGAAATCTAATTAAAAATCTCGAAATTTTTACGAAAGCTTGTCCTTTTTTTAAATATTCCACATGGTTTGAAACTTGGATTTACTTTGATAAAGAATAAACTTTATTTTTCTATAAAAATAACTAAAACTAAATAACCTAAGTCGTTAAAAGTTGTCAATATATGGTGCGCGGGGTGTAGTTTGGTGTTCCGAATAAAAGTTTTTATAGAAGTCATTAAGATGAGGAAGAGGTAGGATAAATTCAGCACTTTATATGCAAGTTCCTTGAAACATAAAGAATGCCCTTAAAATTTCTCGACAACTTCTTAGACTATTTATAAGTGTTGGAGAGTATCAACATTAAAATTAATCAGAGCTCGATTCTGAAAAGGAATTCGATTTTTAAAATTATCCATACTGAGTACTCCAAAGTACTCAGTACTCGCAAAAGATGCCGAAAGTACTCAGAATTGAAATGAACTCGAAAGTACTCAGTACTCAAAAATACTCTCTCAAGTAGCAACTTGGTGTAGATTTATGAATTTGGTACAATTTTATCAGATTTGTACCAATCCATCGATTAACTGTCGAGTAGATACTTAAAAGTACGAGCTTTGTTTACATTTACCGGTATTCGTAAACGATTGTACTTAATTTTAATTTTCAATAGTTTTCAATTAAAATACTCAGTAAATTTAGCCATTCATTTTACATTATTTGGGATTAATATAACAATTTCAATAAAGTGTTGCCAGTACAGTGAGAAAGTACTCAGTAGTCTGAAAAATACCCGACTCTTAAAAGTATCGATACTAAAGGTTCTCGATACTTCCCAACACTAGTACTCGAATAGCTAGAAAATTTAGAAGGATTAAATACATACATATAAGAGAAGGGCATCGTATTGGGCCTGAGTTGCCTACGTGCGAACTATTTGGCTTGAACTGAGCGCCTTACTATACTAACCAATCCTAACTGTCTTATTATGAGTTTATTCAAAAGTATTCTAAATTTTTTACGTATTGATTACACAGGCCAACAAAAATGGGGGGACAAATTTTGTTTCCTAAAATCTTAAAGCGATTTTGTGATACTTTGACCACGTGTTTCTCAAAATCTAAAGCCGATGGAAACTTTATACTTACAGATTCGTAATCAGCACAAAAAAGTCTATCAAACACAGGTTTTACATTACACATATATGTGTATACATACATGTATGTGAGCCTCCGAAAAAACCTCTATGTCAAAGCTTTTCCAACTCTATTTGCTTTCTACCCACACTGCTTGGAAGAAAAATTGCTAGCAATAGCTCTTTAAGATTTTGATGGTGACAACAATGATTGTTATACTTGCTGGCTTGACTGATTTTCTGGCGCTGTTGGTGGTCCATAACAAATTGTTCTCAATAGATGTCGCTTGCCGCCTCACTAGCTCATGGGCTAACTTACGAGCCAGTTGACTAACCGACCGACCGCCTGGCTTGACGAGTGGGTTATTTAGTTGATTGGTTGGCTGACTGGTTCAACCGGACTTTGTCGCATTCGTCATTGATGGCGTTGATGTTGATGCTGATGCATTTCGGTTTTTGTTATTACTATTGTCGCAGTCACACTCCACTTGCTGTGCACAAAACCTGCCAGCAATTTCTTAACTTCTGCAACCCATGTCATTGCAGCTGCCATTGTTACAGTGCTGAGGCTATTTGGTATGCTGCTGGCGTTTGTTGATTGTGCGCTGCGTTGACAGCCATTGGCATTTTGCGCTTAGCGAATTGGTTTGACCATTTCTACTGGCCTTCATAGCTTGCCTGCTTTAAATACTTATTTGTTATTGTTGCTTGCAATTATTGTTGACCGGGGTTAGCAGAATCACTTTGCGCACTTTTCTTACTTCCCATCACTTGCAATTTGTTCTTCATTCGGTGCGGTTTAAACTAATATTTATTTGTAGTTGCAGAGCTCAATAGCTTACAAACGCATGCATGCCCGAATGTCCTTATCAACGTTAATGGAGTGCAATCAGTGCAAAGTCAATATTTTTCTGTCCAGTCCATAATAAATAAATGTTTATTCAGTATAATCGTAAATTGTGTTTGTTATTGTTATTAGTACCAATGTTCATTGAGCAATGACTATGTAGTCAACGATGAAATGAACTGGGAATATTGGTGTGGAAATAATTTCGATAAATTTTAAAATACGTCAGAGGTTGGTTGTAGTTTTGCAATTGGGTGTTTGTGAAGAAGGAAAAAGTACACGCTTTCTGTTAAGAGTAAACTCGTATTTTTACTCAGAGTAAAAAAAAAAAATTTCGACCGATTGCATATAGGTGTATATCAAATCAACCAATGGTTAGCATTGACAACTTTTATTTGGATGAATTTTAGTCTTTTTAGTTCTGCCAAAGGATAATATAAAAAATATTTTCGAAAATTTCACAATTGCTCGGATGTTGAGAGTTTATTTTTGAATATCTAAAAAACTATTATAGTTTTAAAGGCGATACAAACAAAATAAATAAAAAATCAACCATTTTTGATTTGGATGAATTTTGGTCAGAACTTTCTTTTAATCATATAACAAAGTTTTGCTTAAGGAAAACTAAACTAAACTAAAAATTTTGAATTTCACAATTTCCGTGTTTTGGCAAGTGTGTTTTTTGGTTTCGTTTTGAAGGTGATATTTAAGGCCGTAAGGAAAAAATATATAGGAAATTCTAAAAAAATAAAGAAAATTACTTTTATAAATTTTGGCTAAGTTCTAACAGTTAGAACAGTTAGAGTCTAACTGCTCTTAAAAGATCCTGAAATTTTTTAAGGTGTTTTTCTGACTCATCTATGAATTTCCTAAAAAGATTTATTGCAAACCAAAAATTAAAAATTTACTTTCATTACATAAAATTTGTTTAACATAACTTTATTTAAAATTTGCGAAAAAAATTTCAAAGTTAAAAATTGATATCCTTAGAAAAACAACTTCTTGAAAATTTCATTGAGCCAAAATATTTTATACGTGTTTGCTTTTACGATCAAATTTCAAAATTCTGTAAATTTTTTTTAAATTTTTAGATTTTTTATATATTTTGATTGATTGTCAAAATGATGCGTTCTTTGTAAATATTTTGTCTTATGATTGTTATCCTGCGTATAATTTGTTAGTGTAGTTTTTTGTTGTTGTGCTGCCGCTATCACCTCGTATGAATTCGCCTTGGAACTACATATATGAAAAATTTAGTATATTTTCCAATTAAGATTTAGGCGGAAAGAACCATTATTTTAATTAACTCCTTTAAGAAAAGATATTAAAAGAATCTCTTGCAATTTTCTACAAATTGGCATTCAATATAAATAACTGATACAATATTTTTTTTTCATTTATTTTCAGTCACAGAAAAAGAAATTCGACAATGGTAAGTACTCTATTTTCTATGCTTGAGAGATTTAAGAAAACATATACATTTCCATTTAATCTCCATGCTAACTAGGCACAAAGGATTCCTGAAAGACTGTCCAAATGGTTTACTCACAGAGCAAGTAAGTCATATGTTGAAACAAATGTATATCTACAATATCTAAGAGAAAAATATCGATTATACGAAGAAAAGTTCATTTTGTAGTTCATTCTGATTGTGATTGTGAAAAATATTAGCAATTTAAATGGATTTTCAATCTGATTGTCTGCAAAATCAGATCTAGTCTATGGGGCAATTTGCGGACCCGGTCGCTGATGACTTGGATGCCCGCGCCAGAATCACAGCACTCTATAAAAGGCAGATTGGCATGCTATTCGCTTTTATGCTCATTTCTCTCCAATATTCCTTCCTAAATGATTTTTACTTTCACTTTTTACAAATCCTTTAAACGATGTCCATAGGTTTAACACCTCTCTAATGAACGCCGTAATTACAAAATTAAATTTCGAATTGGTTATTCACGGATCCTGGGCCCTGATCTTATAACGTTTTGTGTATGTGCTTTGTAATATGACTTTAAATTGTGAACAGCAAGCCAAATATAATCCGAAAAGGGGAACGGAAAAATAAATTTTAAACTCGCGTAAACGCGTAAGAAGCAATTGTCAAATTGAGGCCAACCCTGCTGCCGTGGATAATTTTTGCTCGTAAGAGCGCGCCAAAGTAGACATTTTTTATTACATTTTTCAATAGAGCCACCATTACATGAAACATGTATGGGCATTTATCGTTGAGCGCAATAGGTCAAATACCAACCAAAATTCAATAGCATATCTATTTTCATTTCGGAATTAAATAGTTCTCACACTTTCTTTCTATCTAAAAGAACTAAGAGAGTTTTACTAGTTTTCTGCTCGACGGAAGAGTCTGATCTCCCAAGCGCACCCTGATCAAACGTTTTATCTTCTCGGAGTTTCTAAATAAAATTTTTGTAAATCAACTACCAGGCGTTTTAAGGTATTAATGCGTGGTATAGTCGCTAATGACCTAAAATAATTATAAAAATATGAATACTTATTATTAAGTATTTCTTAATGAAAATGTTCCTAACTTCAATTTAAGTTTTTTGTAATACACATTCTAAATATATATTTTTTCTCTTTTATTTTTCTCAATTAATTCTATTTAATCGACATCAACCAACACATCAAAAACTTGGATAAAATTTATAAACAACTTAAATGCGCCCACAAAACGTGCTAATTATCCACACCGCACGCATCTTTTAAAACTGCCGCAAAACTTGCAATAATGCGATGCCAACTTTGTGGGAATAAACAACTGCGATGAACGCTCAATGAAACGATTGACACACACACACACACACGTGCGTGACAAAAACAAAAACAACAACACTTAAACACAATTAAAATTATATAACTGCGCATGTGTACCACGACGCTCTCTGTGCTTGGATATGACTGATTCAATCCTTTATTGCAACATAAATGCAACAAATGAAAAAAAAAAATCGTTTCGACATTTGCACGCAATTTACGCGCTTGACTGACTACTGACAATGCCCGGCTGGCTGGCTGGCTTGGCGTGCAATCTTAACCTCAACAATCTGCCGCAATCTGGCGCCGTCACCTCAACCACTGCTGCTGTTACCACTGCTGTTACTGTTACTGTCGCATGGTTTTTGTCTGCAATTGTAACCGACGATGATGCGGACGCCGCACGAATGCAACAAATGATAACTTTTTCACTCGCATGCGACACACATAAAAACGCTTGTGAAATTACACGCATCGTCCATTCTAACGCGCTTCAATTTAACAACAACAACTACTGCCTGGTTGTTGCTGTTGCTGTGTGTTCAACTTTGACACTATCACTAAAAACAATATGAACACGATGCAAATGGATTACGCAAACAATAAAAAAACAACGTTGCTACTCGCTGGAAAATTAAATATTTGCCATTCATTTCGAAATGAATTGCTGGCGCGTTGCCCCTTTGATGTTGTTGCCATCGCTGCTTTCGTTTCTAAACTTCTGCCTTTATGGACACAATCATCGTCACTGTCACTTCGCCAACTTGCTTGTCACGCTGCCTTTCTTTCCGTTGGGTGTTGGATTCTTCGTTGCCTTTGGCGTTATCGCGCGCGTCGTTGGCGAAAACACTTTCCGAAAACTGATGTACTTCAAAATGGAAACACACTTACACACGCATGTACTTGCATATATGAAATCACAAAAACCATCGTAACACTACTTGCTTGCATGCGTGTCATATGTTATATTTGGTTGTGGTTTTGTGTGCTATACGCTGTATCATTCTTCTTGTGGCACCGTGGCGTATACGCAACATTTAATATTTGCGCTTAACTCACTCCCTACGTTCATGGCAAATCCGGTGACAAATATAAATGCGTTAACGTACAAAAAAAACAACTATGATTACTACAAAAACCACCAACATTTGTAATGCTCGCACACGTACACACACTTGCACGCACGCATATTTGAACTAAAGGGTTTTATTAAAATCTACAAACAATTCTTCCCGCAAGGAGATCCCAGTAAATTTGCTTCGCTGGTGTTTCGAGTTTTCGACGAGAATAATGTAAGTATCTAAATAAATTTCTTTTTATAAACTCTTGCCATTCCTCTTACATTATTATCTATGTATGTGTGTGTGTTGGTGTTACAAAATAATCTTGTTTGTTTTCGTGCGTGCATTTGCTGGTGTAAAACAGCTGCCTGTTGTGTGATGAATGATGTTGATAAATGAATTAAGTTGATGCAATGAAATTGTGCTGCGTCCTGCGTTGTATATCCGGTATTACCGCATAGCATTCCGTCAGCGGTGAGTTTTTAGGGTTGCTGGGGGTACATGCAATCACAGAAATGGGTAGAGAACGACAGCAGAAGAAACAAAGTTAAATAAATGTTTTAAGCAAAATAAACGCCAAAAGCTTAACTTCGCGCCCCGGATATGATTTCAGTGGATTTATTACTCAAGTTGTACAAGTGTACGTAGCTTATTTTGATAAAAGACAAAAGTTTGACGTGAAGCGTTGTTGAGCTCCTTCTTGCGGCGCATGAGTTAGTATAGATAGTTGCTTTAACTTCAGTGGCATTTTATTGTGTGGGGATTTAGTAAAGATTGCAAAAGAATTTGTACTGTCATGTATTGTTTTTTGTTTTGTGTGCTGTAATGTAGTTGCTACTGAAAATAAGTACAGAAAAAGTGCACATCGTTCTTTGTGATTAATTATCTCAAGGTGAGGTTAAATTGTTTCTAAATGAAACCAAGTAATTCAAGCTACAGGTTTTTTGAGGCAACAAGTAGTTTAATACAGAGACCGTAAATTATCATAAGGTTAAGGTTTTTTAACCAGATAATAAGTAAGGAGCCCAAATTGATGACACTTTTTTTAAAATACAAATCTGCCACTTTTTCAATGGGGTGAGAAAAGTATAATAGAAAATTGGTACCTAAACCTGTAGAATTTTTGCATAATAATATTAACTAGTGAACTGAAATGGCGTTAAAACGCACTCAAGTTTAATTAAAACTCTTAGAAACTATTCCAAGCAGGGACCGTAACAGTTACAACTTTTATTAAGAAAATCGCTCTTTAACAATTATTTTTTGACTTTTATTTAATTACTCCTTAAATAACCGTTATTTCTGACTTTTATTTTATAAATCCAAAATAACAATTATTTTTGATTTTTCTCTAAATAATCTGCAAATAACAGTTATTTTTGTTTTTTATATGTCTTTACATATATGTCTTACAAAACAGCTATCGAAAACTTTTATTTATAAAAGTAATAAATAAAAATCAGTCACTTACCTTTATTTTTTAAATCATACTTCGTACAAGTCGTAGTAATAATTTTTTTGTTTCCCAACACCCTCTCAACTGCGAAAAATGCTAATGACTTTTATGCGAATGATTTAAAAAATAAAAGTCGGTAGCTCATTTATATTGATGACTTTTATAAATAAAATTCTTCAATAACTGTTATCTAGGACATATAATATAAAAATTAAAAATAAATGTTACTTTGGATCTATAATATAAAAATGAAAAATAATTGTTATTTTTTTTTTAATTTTGCATAAAAATTCCACATATAAAATTTATTTTCAAATTGGAGTCTCGGTGAAAAACGAAATCGGATGGTATGTATCACTTAGTTGTAGGACATTTCCTTCATAGTAAATCTTTCCATAAAAGTTTTCATCAATAACGGTTATGTTCGGTATCTGATTCCAAATGTTAGTCAGAGTTATAGCGATCCGAGTGCCATATTTCATCTTAATCCGTAAAGCCGTTTCTGAGTGAACAGAGTTCTCTCCTAGTGTCGGTTTTTAGAATCATAAAATTTCAAATACCCTGATTGATTTTTCAATCACGTGGCAACCCTACTAAACAAAAGTCAAAAATAAAGCGTTTTAAAACCCATTTCGATTGATATACATGTTTTAGTAATGCATCTAAATCTCTAAAAAAATTGAATGTTACTTATAGGTATAAATATTCATACTAATGATTTCTTAATACTCTTTCGTTAGACACCCTTTCTTTAATATTCCATATAATTTGTATATAAGTTAATTAAGTTCAACTTTTCAAATGGGTGGCAACCCTCTAAAAAATATTTTCAAGCTAAAACTTTCTTAAATAACTTCAACTGGCAACGTGATCCATATTATAATAAACCGATAAATTAATTTGAATTTGATTTTTTGAACATGTGGCAACTCTGTAAATATAGTTCAGAAATAAAGCCTCGTTAAACCCATTTCGAGTGATACTAAATAATATTTAAGTGATTCATTAAACTTATTAAATAATTTGAATTTAACTTTATAAACTGGTGGCAACCCTCTTTAAACACCACAAAAATATCTTCACTACTATGAATGCATATCGTCACTACACACGAATAAAGGCGAGATAGTGCTTTGACAGCGAAAAAAGGCGCGTTAAAAAAATTTGCGAAAAAAGATGCTTATGAAAATCTTCGGCGAACTATGTTGAGTTCTTGACGCTAAAGTTTTTTTATGCGTCTTTTTTCACCGTCAACTTTTGAGCTGGCGCCTTTATTCACGTTTAGTGACGATATGAGCTATATTAAAGATTTCTTAACACTCTTTTGTTTTGAATATTTTAATGTATAATTGTTTATTAATTAACTGAATTCGACTTTTCAAACAGCTGGCAATCCTCTTCAAAATATTTACAAACTATTACTTCCATAAACCCTTTCCTTTGGCCCCATGTTTCAATTACCTAATTCCCTTAATTCAAATTGAATATAACTTTTAAAAATTTTAAAACCATTTCCATTGATACCCATTTTGTAATAATTGATTTAACTTTTTAAATAATTTGAACGTAATTTTTTTTGAATATGGCAACTCTTTTCGAGCAATCTTTTCGGTGCCGATCTAATGACCTGGACGAAAAATCCCCGTCGCGTATTATATATGTATGTAGATAATGGAGAGGTTTTCTAACTTCAGAGGTACAGAATGAATTACCGGAAAATCTCCTGATTTGGCAGTAAAATGTGACCACAATTTTTTATATCTTTGACCCGATACATTCCAGTTTGTTTGATAAATTTCGATAATTTGATACAAATCGATAAAAAAAATATTTATTTTTATCAAAGTTTTTAGCACAAAATGTTGAGAAAGCAGCAATTTCGGAGAAAATCGATTCTACTGTTCCTCTAATGGATGCCATTTACATAATAAAAGTAGTTGAATACAAATATAGGGTTACAATTAAACAAAAAAAAATCACAATAAAAAACTTGAAATGTTTCAAGCAAATTTTCAAATAAGATTGTTTCAAATCTTTCTTCTCGCTCTTATTACTACAACTGATATAATTTGACCATGTACACAAAGCTTGTTGTTTTTGCTCTAATGCTGCTACCTGTTCAATGTACCTTGGGCAAATCTACTTTAATAAACAAATGTACGCACAAAACGGAATGACGAAAAAACTTAATATCTGGCTGGCTCAGTGGAAAGATTGAGGCAAAAATAACAGAAATAAAAAAACAGTACAAATACATTAAGAAAAAAATCAAAATAAAGTATTCGCAAATATTAAGAAATGAAAAAATCTGCGAATTTCTTCAAAACATTTGACACTAAATACAAAATCCCATATTGAGGCGCACGCGAGGTGAGGTCGCAACGCACTAGCGACAATTATCTGCTTTTCTCATCAAGTGGAGCTTTAAATAATGCAACTAGTTGCCGGTAGAGTTCACTGCTATCGGTTGAAGTGATAGGAATAGAAGATAAATTAAATGGGGGCAAAAAGTAAATCCAAGCTGTTTTTTGATAAAATTTCAAAAGATGTTTCTGAACTTGGAATGAGGTAACACAAGCGAGTATGCATTAACCGAATGCATAAAAAGAGCTTTTTGTAATATTCAATGAATATTTAGACATTTTCTCCTAATGAGAGAAACATGCCAGAAAGTACAAAAACGCACACCCATTAAGAAGTTGCAAGTTTTAGGAACAGATGATTAATTTAGTATTTTCCGCAGCAATTTTCCAAGATAAATAGTATTTCCTATTATATTATACATTTAAATAGGTCAAAAAAAATTTTTTTATTAGTATGAATTGCACGAAGCATCATACCATTAGGTGCTTTTCTTACTGGCAAATATTTACCAGTAAAAATTTATCCAGTCAAACTTTCAAGTTCCGCTGCCATTTTCACTCTCTCAATTTCCTCTCTCTTGCTGTTTTCTGCAAGTTTTTTGCATACGAAAAAGCTAACCAGTAAAAACCACCCTGCAGAAAAAATTATCAAAATATAATTAAAAAAATAACCCACATGCAGTTAACTTTTTTGCGGGATTTCTAAAAAAAAAATATATGACTTTTTGTTAGCTACATAAAGCTAACTTACAACTAGTTGACAAGTAATGCAGACGCAATCGGGAGATTGTTTTTTTTTCAACGCGTTTCTATTTAAATATCCTGCCCTTCACAAATACTTTTTCGAATTGAGGACAAATAAAAGGAAGAACGAAAATTCATATTATCATTTTGATGTTATGTCTGACGGAGTTCGAATATGGGACCACCTACAGCAGAATATGTAAACATGTATGAAATGTAATAAAATAAAGTAAATAAATATTTTGTTTTCCTATTGATATTTTATGTCCAAAAGTAGTAAGTTACAAGTTAGTTACATCAAATGCACCACGTAATTCATAACCTTGATAATTCAAGTTTCATCTGCTTGAAACATCGAAACATATTTCTCTAAAGAAAAATTAAGTATATGTCTGACCTATTGTCGGTTTTGAAGCCAAAATTAAAGATTCTACAAAGTTTGAGCTACGGCGGCGAAAGTATATATAGGGCGCGACATTTTAAAATTTTTTTGGTATTTTTCATTTGTGTATTTAATGTTTATAATTTTTTATAAAAGCAAAGCTCACTTTCTAACAAAAACCATGTAAGTTAAGATTAAAAATTTTTTTATATGGAGAGTATGATCAACAAAAAAAAAGGAAAAAGAGCCAAAAAAAAAACAGTAAGTCCTAGTTACTTCAAACTTGTATTTTATTATACTAAAATTGAATGTACTACAGAACTGCATATCCAAATTAAAAAGCTAGAAACTCTGTTCCATTTCCAATTTTAGTGCAAGGTTTGATATACGGATTTACATGGGTTTAGTTAAAAAACAAGCTATGTTTGCATAGAAAAAATAATAAACACATTTTCATATATATATAGTATATTTTCATTAGTTTTGAGTTAAATTTTTTTTTAATATAAACAGCCGTACATAGGTATGTGTGTATGTAATTGTTGTCCTAAGTGAAAAAAATCCAATCCAAAGCTCGAAATTTAAAAAAGAATTTCAGAACACAAAAAATTCAACGAAAATGGTTTATCTACCGTTTTGATATCAGTAAATACTTTATATTTTTTTTGTATGCTCAAATGCCATCAGTCCCAGCATCTCTAAATCAATTTTCACATTAATAAATAACGTGCATGACGCCGCATTTAATATTTTTTGGCATTTTGCCTTTCACATCGCTTTCGTTATCTCTCATTCTTACGGTAGTCAGTCCTACGATTGCTTCAATTATTTAATTAACCAATTTCATACCAATTGAGGATTTATCGCCACAAACCACAAATGTATAAATGCGATTGCCACGCTTGACGGCAATGACATATCGATGAAAAGGCGGGCGTGATAGTGGCTGGAGAACAGCCAAAACATGTAACTAAGAAAGAATCAACAAAAAAAAAAAAACGCAGACGACGGAAATAATTAGTACAGAAATAAGAGGAAGGAAATAGATATCGAAAGAAATAAAATGAATAATATGGTTTGGCAAATATGAGTAGTTGAGTATTGCCGAATTTGTACCAGCATAAATAGTACACGTTTTGGTTTTGTGAGAGAAATGGAATTTTTAGTTAGCGGAGCGCTTACTAAATAAAACACTCAACCATCTCAACGAGAAACAAACCGCCTTCAGAGCCCAAAACAAATTCAGTTCATTATTTGTAAATTTCACAGAAATACTGAGAAAGGTCGTAAATACAACATCGAATATTACAAAAACAGGTAGGGAATGAAGGAAGGGCACAAATTCAATCAAAAAAGAAAGCAGTATAATGTGAGAAAAACAATCGGGATTCTAAGATAAAACCTGAAGAAGGAGAACGAAACGGTACCAATTCACAAAAGAGAATACGTGGGAACGGCAGAGCATCTAATTAAAGAAACAAATTGCTGGAGGGTGAGAAAGGGTCCAATCGAGGAGTACCAGGCGGGAATATAAAGATCCGAGATGATCATAAACCCAAAGCAACTTAAGCAATGACGTTAATGAGCTCTGCAGCACCTTCAATTATCGCACTACCAAAAATACACGAACTACACTCCGATGAGACCAGCTTTCAACGACAAATCGGTATCATTATACATATATGTACATACATATGTATGCTCCTAAATCTAACGGAAGTTTCTTTCCACATCGAGGGCGCTCAAATTTTAGAAAAAGGACTCAAGCATTATATCCAAAAATTACAATAACAAAAGGGAGATCACGCAGACTATTGTGGATATGGAAATAGCTTTATCTATACTGCCGAAAGAGAAACAGGAACTCACTAGACACATGCGCCAACATCTAATTGAAAAGGTTATTAAAGCCAAAGGAAACAGAGTAACTAAAATAATGTAATGAAAAGTCTGAAGCAGAAATTAAAAAACCAACAACGTAATCACGGCCAAAGATGACAGTATTAACATAAAAAAAATTAAAAACTTATCAGAGAAAACAGATGTAAGACGATAGTAAAGGCAATAAAATGTTTTAAAGAAAGCGACAAAAATAATAAAACCGAACCAAATACATACACTGACAATAATTAATAAATAATAAAGCTCCAACGATGAATGTACTACCCAAAACCACAAACTAGCAAAACTGTCTGCGAAGTTGTCATACGGAATGACGAAAAAAGACACTTAAAATGTTGTTCTGAATAGCTTTTCAATAGTTCTAGAGTTTCTGGAAAGGAAACAAAACTTCTGAAAAATTTTACCTTTTTTAAAGTTAAAGGTTTGAAAAAAAATATAAAAACTTAAACTGTTCTGAGTAGCTCTTCAATAGTTCGAGAGTTCCTGAGAAGGAAAAAAAGCTATTAAAAAATTACGCCGAAAAATAAAACATTTTAGAACCAACCCTGAAAATGTATATGAAAATAATCTTAATAGGCGGTTTTAGCACCTCCAATAAGCATTGGATGATTCGCGAAAATCTATATTGATGTGCTGCGGCGAGACTCCAACTGTCGAGCGTTTTTATGGAGTTCATTTATGTATTAATTGATACAGATGATTTCACAAATGACGATTATATCAATCTCATTAAAATGACTCGAATACCATGTCTGATTCGAGACATACCGTTGAAATTAACAGTGGAAACGGTGGTAGATGAACTGAAAGAGCTGGTACACTATATTCGTGCAGGATGGCATTACTTGGCTTATATGTACTTATAATGGCCAAGGGTGGTACCGATGCAATATGTACAAAAAAGATCGCGGGTTGAAGAAAGCGAAATCGTTAGCCCAAGTATGGTTGCTTATATAAAATAACAAAAATTCTGAAATGTATTCTTGTAATTGTAATAACTTGAAACCTTACCGTTGAAAGTTGAAAGTGCCCCTGCTTCGCCCATTCTTGCTCTGTTTTAGTTCTAATTATCCTTAAAACTCTTAAAAAAATTTTAAGTGTAATTTTAATAACCTTCCTATACACATAAGGAAGCCACGCAGTGCTGTACCTATTCAACTGAATCAAAATAAAGTAATGAAGATGTTTTCTTCATTTCCCCCACTTTTCTGCGAAACTAATCATTCTCCAAAATGCGATGAAAGATAAACTTCTGTGCGCCTAAAAGTCCAGCTATAACATTGGATCTCGAGGAGAAAATGTGTACCTATACAAGTGAATCGGGCTGTATGTGCAGAGCAATGTTTCCCAACAAATTTCAACAATTTTATCACCTGTGTTAAGTGCACTCACTCATTTATGTAGGTATATAAGTAGTAGCTTTGTAGCAGCTGTCTAGAATCTAGATATTTCACTCGACTACTCGCTCGCTTGCTGCTGCTGCTGCCACATTGTCTAGGGGCAGTCTGTTGATTTATGGATTAATTTCGGTCAGCAGAGCTAATTATACAACTTTGTGTGTGGCTGACAGTCACTTTATCGCCACCATAGTTTACATACATATATGTAGATATGGCATGGGTAGCGTTGGTAGAACTCCATAAGCATGTGTAAAACTTTTGAACTTGCTTATGGAGTTCTGCCTGTGCTGCCCATCATTGATAACGAAGGACGTAAGTGCAAACAAATTTATGATATACTCGTACTTATAAAAAAGTTGCTTTAACGATTGCGTCAGGGTGATGGGTTTTGAGGCGAATAAATGATGTTGTGCTGCTGTTTTGTTGATCAGTGTTTTGTTGTATGCGCGCATCTCTTTCCCCTTCCCCTTCCCCTTCCCCTTCCCCTTCCTGATTATGCGAGATACTGACATTTCGCAGTGTACATTTTGTATTTAATTTCTTCTCTCCCTCTCTCTTTTCCGTCCACTCTTTTTTCTTTTCATATTTATTTATCTCTGCTGCTTATTCTGGACTACGTAAACCGCTGCTATTCGAATGAAAACAACGCAGGATGGTTCAATAGAATTTGAGGAATTCATACGCGCCCTATCCGTGACATCGAAGGGAAACTTGGATGAAAAATTACAATGTAAGTTTATTGCTGCGATTACGCCGTTACATTCATATTTACTTTATTTTTTCGTTATCACATAATATTGATTGTACATAAATATTATTGAAAGCGTGGCATTGAGTAATGACCATGCGTTGGTGGAGGTGAAGAAGTCATTGGATTTTATGCCATGCATGAAGATATGTATTTATTACTTTTTGTCTGCAGACGATATAATAATCATGTAAATATGTGTGTGTATGTACGTACACTGCCGGGACAAAGTATTGGCACAGCAAATTTTTCACAATATAAGCAACAATTTTCATTCTTACATTTTTCCGCTAATTTCGTATAAAAAATAGTTCGTTCTACAACAAAAAACATAAAAATATAATTCCTAAACTTTGTGGAAAACTCGCGAAAATTCAGCAAATTTTCATGAAAATTTTCAACTTTTTGATCAGGTTTTTTAGAATTTTTTTGAGTATGCAGATTTTATATAAAGTGCAAGTTTTAAGTAGCTAGGAATAAACGTTGATTTTTGGCAATTTTTTTCACGCAGTCTCTTCCATCGAAAATACTTTATAGGGAAAAAATGCAAAACACCTTCAACAAAAAAAATTTTCAAAAATCAACGCAATTTTTGACTAACTCCGAACTTGCATCTTTTGTACTAGAATTTAATGGGCTGCAAAACTGCATACTCAAAAAAATTCTAGAAATCGGATTAAAAAGTTGAAAATTTTGATGAAAATTTGCTGAATTTTCGCGAGTTTTGCACAAAGTTTAGCAATTTTATTTTTATGTTTTTTGTTGTTGAATGAACCATATTTTTATACAAAATTTGCGGAAAAATATTAGAATAAAAATTGTTGCATATATTGTGAAAAATTTGCTGTGCCAATACTTTATTCCGGCAGTGTATGTATATTAGACTGGTTAAACGAAAAGCGACACAAAAAAAGACACCGGTCAAAAGCGCAGCGATTTTGAGAATACAGTTTTGTAGTCCATTAAATTTTAGTGGCACAAAGTGCAATTTTAAGTAGGTGTTGCTTATTTTCTTCAGAAAAAAAAATTGTCGAACATACTTTGTATGGAAGAAAATGCGCGTACAAACAATTGCCAAAAATCAAAGGTAAGTCCTAGCTACCTCAAACTTGTACTTTGTTATACTAAAGTTTATTCGTCTACAAAACTGCATACTCAAAAAAATAAAAATAAATAAGAATTTGATTAAAAAGTGTAAAATTTTGAACAAGGTTTGTTAAAATTTGTCGGTTTTTATATAAATGTTCTGTTTTGATTTACATACATGTTTTTCTAGATAATGAGATATATTTTTGTAAAATAATAATAAAAATTTAATAAACAAAAACAGTAGCCAAAACTTGCTAAAATGTATTTTCCCTATTTACATTCTCGCCGCTGTACGTACGACACTAACATTGAATAACTTTTTTGTGGAGTGAATTTATGGAAAATTCATAAAAAGAAATAATCGATTTTTTATCCGGTCTAATGTACATGCGTATGTATGTATATCTCTTTGGTTTTTCTTTTCAACTTAATTTCATTGTAATTGCCGTACCTAATTTGAAATTTATGTTATTTATTTGCCTTTGCTCTTCCAGAATCTTTTTCTGTTTCACTTCTTTTTTTTTTCTCCTTATGATTTATTGTTGCACTATTATGTATTGTATGATTCTTAAATGCTACTCGTCTTTTATTGCTGCCATATTACGGATGACTTATGTTTGTTTTGTTATGCAGAAATTTGAGTGGGTGTAAAAGTATTTTGCGCTGACTATTCTGATTTATGCGACTATTCTGTATTTTATTGGCTAATTTAATTGCAAACGAGTTAGCAGGTGAAGTTCCGATTTGTGTACATACTTATATGTAGTAAGCACATATGTATGTACGTATGTATATCTGAGCCTTTCATTGATTCCGATTGAAATTGAAATTTTATTACATCTTAACTCGTGAATGTTACATATACATATGTAAGTATGCAACGCTCGAATTACTCACAATAATACTGTAGCCACGAAAAATTTTATTACGCAAAAAAATTCGCCAGTATGACATTATGTATGTATATATGTATATTTACATACTTAACGGGTCGTACATATCTCCCCTGAGAGTGGTCAAAACTTTGTATTATGGCTTTGTGTATACAGGGTGGTCCAAAAATGCATGTGAAAAAGTAAAGTCGTAATTTTTATGCTCTCACCCCCTAAGATTGTTCTATACCAAAAAAAACATACCCCTATTTTTTTTTTATTTTGAAATCAAAAAATATTTAGAGGTCGCTCAAAGCGCCCAAAGTCTTCCATGTATTTTATATGGAGAAAAACAACTTTTCGTAGAAATAAGTATAGAATTCTTAAAAATCAAAATTTTTCTATCAGAAAACTCTGTTTATTTGCAGATGATTCCCAGTGATAATACCCAGTTGTTTAGTTAACCATTTTTTCGACGCAACTATAATTTATATGCCCGCGAAGAACCCACAAAACCCCGAAAAATGCAATAGGCGAAACAACAAAAAATAGTTAGTATTAAAAATGGTTAAATAAACAATTGGGTATTATTATTGAAGGTCTCCTGAAGAGAACCAAGGTTTACAGATCGAAAAATATTGATTTTCAAGAATTCTATACCATTTCTACGAAAAGTTGATTTTTCCCATACAAAAATACATGGAAAATCTTGAGCGCTTTGAGAGACCTCTAAATATTTTTTGATTTTAAATTTAAAAAAATAAGGGTACACTTTTTTTCAATATAGAACAATCATAGGGGTTGAGAGCATTACAATCCCGACCTTACTGTCTTTAACAACCTTGTATACATGCATCAACTCTCTTAGTATCCACAAAAAATTTGGTTCTTCTATTTTTCCTATTTGGATGTCGTGCTTATTGAGCACCTTGTCTAAAATGTACCTCCCACTTCATAGCTTAACATGCGTAAATATGATTACATCTTTTTAGCACTGGTTAGGCTATAGCAACGACAAAACTCGCCGCTAGAACTAAGTCATAACTAGAACGCTCAAAACCATAAGGCAGAAATTCACCGTACAATACATCTTGCTTAGAAAAAAATTAAAAATATAGGTTAATCGATTTTTTTTTTATACCAAAAATACTAGTTGAAGTATATTTTTTCCGGAGTAAAAACAAAAAAATTGTATGACATAGGTTGGGCAAATTTGAAGGATATTTCATGGCCATGTTGAAAAAAAAATTCAAAATATAGGTCAATAGTATGTTTTTTATACCAAGATGGCCGCCAAAGTAAAACAAGGGACAAAACTTCTTGAAACTTTTACTTTATAATGCCCTGATTTACCTAAAAACTAAAAAACAAAAGCAGATACAATTAGCTAAAGAAGCTCCATAGCTCCTTTTTCTTTAGAGCTTTTCGTTTAAGCGCGAGCATTTTTTTTTTCTAGAACTACTGCCGAACTCCTACTACTCCCTAGGGTGGCATTTTAGATCCCAAACCCCATACAATTTTTTGTTCGGCTAGACCTATCGCTTCCCAAAAGAAAACCCTTATCACTGGGACTCCCTCTATAGACTGAGTGAGTTCGAAACTAGTCGCCTTTTACATAAGTCTATGTTTTTCTTATCACGCATGCCAAATTTGTCGGCCGCTGTGGTGTAATGGTAAGCAGTGCGCGCTTCCACTCCGCAGCACCTGGGTTCAAGCACTATTCAAAGCAACATCGCTAAAAAAAAATGTAGAAAAAAAAAGGTTTTTTTCTTAACAGCGGTCGTCCCTCGGCAGGCAATGGCAAACCTCCGAGTGTATTTCTGCCATGAAAAACAGCTTCTCATAAAAATACAATCGCTGTTCGGAGTCGGCGTAAAACTGTAGGTCCCATCACAACAGTCAAGGAGCCCGCCACAAATCGGAGGAGAAGCTCGGCCAAACACTAACATATGTGTAAGCGCCAATCTATTATTATTATTATCCCAAATTTCAAGTTGATATACATATCTTAAATTACGGCTTTTCACCTTTATCTCACTCAAGCAATATTCTTAAAGCTCCTCGTGCAATATATCAGTTAAGTTGAAAAAGATGCCTATGGGCAAGATTTTATTTTTTAATTCTGTTTTATGAGTATGTACGCTCATCCTGTATTCTTTGTTATAGCCGAACTACTCCGAACTTGTAAGTTATAGTCTATGAAAGATTTAAGATTTTTGAAATTGGTTTTACCTTTTAGCTGATTTTAAAATAATTTGATTAAAACACTTAAGTACAGATATAAGGGTCGTGTATAGCAAACATTTTTAGTGCAAGTATTGACCTTTAATACAAAAAAACTTTTTGGCGAAAAAAAAACGCGCACAACTTCAATTTGATCACTCAAAATTTTGTTATTGATCCAAGCTAGCAAATTTGTTTTTGCATGCTGTTCAATAGCATGCAACGTTTGATAACTGTTATCATACGAATTTTATTTCTTCTATTCTCTTTTATGCTTATTTTTGTAACAATTGTGATCTTTTCTAACAAATTACAAAATATGTATGATCGATTTTCAAGCATATTTTTTTCATTTTGGCGTCCCAGATTGACTAAATCTCACACTGTGCTACGATACGTTTCTTTTCAAATAACGAAATCCAAAAATTAAAAGGATTTTGAATTAAAAAAGAAGAAATATAAAATAAGTTCCTTTAAAATTAAATGAAATCAACAAAAATATTTTTCTCTTTGGAATAATTTAAACTAAAATTTAAAAGAAAATTAATTTAAAAAAAGAAAAAAGGTTATGAAAAAGAAAAATAAAATTAATGACTTAAATTAGATTAAAAACAATTATTTTTCTATTTAAGACAAAAAGATTCTTAGAATTAAAAAAAGACACAAAAATTTGAATAAAAAAAGAATATAAGATTCTAAAAATTAAATGAGATTAAAAAAATATTTTGTACATGTTTATTTGGAACAGTGATGCTCAGAGAAAGCTTTTGCTCTGTGCGCGTCCATTTAAAATCTACA